AGCACTTCCTCCAGTTGGCAAACAGAAGTTCAGGCTAAGACCCTGCTGGCCTGGTCCTGGCACATCCTCTGCACTGTTGAATCACTGGACTTACTGATGTTAGATGATCACCCCTCCCCTCACACCTGTGGGCAGGGTGGAACAGTCACGTGGGCAGAGAGAATGGGAAGCTCCAGTTCAGCAATGCCTTCTTAGGTGAGGGTAGGACAGAGCAGAGTGCTCTGGGCTCTTACCCTCTCCCCTCCCATCTGTGGCTTGGCTCAGCTCTGGCCTTCCTGGCTGGCTCCCCCTTGGTTTTCTGTGCTGGAGCAACCCCCACCAGAGCCTCTTTGCCATAACTGCCAGCTGTTTGCATTGAGCTCTCAATGGCAGAACTGCTGGCTTCCACTGGCACCTAGATCTTGGAGACCTGTTTTCATTTTCATTTTCATCTATATTTGGTCATCTCTGTCTTAACTCTATAACTGCAGTAACCTGGCTGTGACTGCTCAGGTTCCCACCATCCTGCCCCTTGGCACCCTCCCATCTGCCCCATCCATGCTCACCCCCACACACACACCAGTCCTTCCACTCGGAATGGTTTTACCACCTATTGTGATCTGTAAAGGTGGGGTTAGGACTACTTAACCTCTGTTCCCACTCCCCTGCAAACCAGGGCATCTGGGAAGTGAGCAGCCAGCTCCCCTGTATAATTTTGTTTTCACTGACTGATTCACTTGGTCATGTTTCCTTCACATCCAGGTCCCTGTCAGTCAGTATCAATGAGACTCTGCCTCTTTCATGATCCCCTTGCCTGTGGAACATGTCTGGTCCTAGCTGTGGTTTCCATCATTCCCCTATCACCCTTATTTGTTAACCTTGTGCCTGTCTCATGTATAATCACATCACCAAAAAGGGGGAGGGGGGAAGGACTTTTTTTTTTTTTTTTTTTTTGCCATTTTGTAATCATATAAAAATAGTAGACAAACTGCTTAATGGTTGGGGTTTTTTCACAATTTTCAACATTAGTGATTTTTTTTTCTGGTTCTGTTTGCAAGTTAAAGGGTTTGTCATTGTTTCTTTAAAAAACAATAATGCACCATATCCCTATGCATAAAGTGCTTCTTCTATTTATAAGGTTGAAAATTCTGAATAACCCTTTTAGCATTGTAAAAAAACAAAAAAAAAAGAAAAATTGAAAAAAAAAAACTTGTATTTTGTAAATATTTTCTTTTCCTGCTTTGAGCTGTGTAATGGCAGCGAAACATGTAGCTGTCTTTGTTCTATAGAAATGCTTTTCTTCAGAGAAGCTGATCTTTGTTAATGTCTTGATTCTGTTCGCAAAGCACAGACTAGTGCTTACAAAAAAAGGAAGGAAAAATTGAAAAAAATAATAAAAAAAAGAGTTACAGAATGTTGTGTGCCAGGCCTTTCTTGACTTGTGCTGGGTATACATTATATACATGCCAGTGGTGGTGGCTTCAAAGCCAGCTCTGTTGGAGCCATCCTTTGGGGTTCTCTGAATTGCTCTGAACCTTGCAAAGTCTCCATTCTGTCCTCAGGGAACAGGCAGGGTCATCTGTTGGTCACCAGAAAGAGGATGTGGTGCTTTTTCACTGAGAGTAAGGGGTTGCCAGGAGGAGAGGCGGTCTGCAAGGGTCGTCTGCCTTTTCTTTTTATGGAGTGAAAGTTGAACCATTGCCTCTTGATGTTCCTTTCTGTAGTGGTGCCAGCAGTATGACATTTTGTATCTACTCTAAATTGTTTTTTAAAGGAGATTTTTCTTTTCCTTAACTTTTTCTGGAGTTGGGGGTCAATGAGAATATATAATTTGCATAAATGCCTGGGTTGTTTCTTGCCTGCTACCTGAGATTATCTTACAGCATCTTTCTTCTGAGGAGGCTAAGTGCTTGATTTTCTTGGTACAAGATGAATAAATAGGTGGGCCCGGTTCTCTCTTTTCTCACTTTACCTGGCAGTCAGGCAAGTGCTGCCTATCACCATGCCTGCTGAGGTGGCATTTCTCTTGCTGGCATATTGCTGCCTCTGGAGTTACAGTTAAGATCTGTTCTACTCAGACATCTGCCTGCAGTGGCTAAGCACATCAAGAAAAAGCCAAGAAAAATAATACTTTGAAACTGAAAATCTAAGGATTCAATATCCTGACCTTGACATAATTAAGAAACAATAATATGAGGGTTTACTGTTTTTGTTTTCCTTTGTGGCATTGCTAGGAAGAAGCTATCTGGTATCTCTGTCTTGATTTAGTAGAAATATTCCTCAATCCATAATGAGGTTCCAAAGGAAAGAGAAAGGCAGCTTTGTCAACCTGGCAGGAATCTAAGCTGCTCATTCAGCTGATTGATTGGCTGGTGTTCTGCTTCAGCCCAGGCCTCTGGACTAATTTCCAGGGACAGAAGATCTCATATACCCAGTCCCAAACTTTCTCAGCTTTGGATACAGACACTGGTCTTACAAGCTCTGAGTGCAGCACTGTGAGCTTAGCCACAGAGGTTCATCTTGCCCTTTGAGTTGGACCAGGATGTTTTGCCAGCACCAGAATGAGAGAATCAACTGAAAATGAACCAGTCTGAGAACACTCCTTTCACTATCGGGGCCCCTTAGAAAGAGTTGTTAATCCTGATGTACAACTTTTAACAATAATGTTGTCATTTCCTGTTCTAAGTAAGGGTGGGAAAGAACTCAAAAATCATACATCCTTTTTAAAAATTTATTTATTTTTAAGGCTAGTCAAGTGAAGTGGAATGGAGAAGGAACAGAAAATCACCCTATATCATTTTTTGTGCTTGGAATCCATGAACACAGACCTTATTTAATCAGAGTAATAACTTTATTTTCAGATTCACTTTTACAGCAACAGTCAGTGTAAATCATTTGTTAAAACACACAATACACTATATGGACATTTCACAAACAGGAAGCTAAGCTAAGATGATTTCATGTCCCGCCCCCCACCCTCAAAGTTACCAAAGAAATCATGGGACTTGCAAGTGCCAGAAAGTGTCCTGTACAACTTTGCAGATTCACGGGGCTAAGTCCATTAGGAGGTTAAGACTCTAGGCCAGTGCCAGGGTAACCCTTTTCAAAGCTGAAGAGAAATCAGAAGTCTCCTGAAGCCACAGATCTGTAGATGGAACAAGCTGATGATAACCTCTGCCGTCAGCCCCCACCTCTTGGCTTCACTTGGAGAACAAAGACAAGGAGAGTGAAGGAAACAATCTCAGCCCCCGAAAAGTACAGGCTGCATGTGTGCAGCTGGTGGGAGAGGTGACACGGAGGTGCCAACAGCTTAGAGGGAAGGATGCTGGGGTCTTAGGCATGCTTTCGGGCTTGGGACCCCACAAGAGGGCAGCAGGCCAAAGCAACCAGATCGCCAGATTCCCACTTAGCTGGGAAGGCCATGGGGAAAACTGCTGGCTGCCTGCTGCGAATGGGAAAACCTGTCAGTGGAAAGGTGAAGCCACAAGGACCTCTAATCCCATGGCATCTCCGTCTAGCAAATGTAGTTGAAATAATGAAGAAAAGGGTTACAGGGCAGTTTCACTGCTGCACTCCAAGACCTCCCTTTGCCCGTGTTAACTATTGAACACGTTCCTCCCCCCTCCCCCCACAGCACAACGAGCAATTGCAAACAGGAAACAGTCTCACCACTGAAGTCAGCTTAAATGGAGCTATTGATAAAATGAACCGAGAGCTTGATAGGCATATAGTATACCCTATCTAGCCCACCCAGGGACATTGGCTCTAGAGGTGGGAGAAATGGGATAAGGGGAGGAATATCCAGCCCTGGGGGGATTGTCCTCATTTAATGTCACAAGCCAGCACCCCTTTGCAATCTACCTGCCAGCATTGACCTGATCACCCTAAACCATGACCTTTAGGCTGACCCCAATAGCCACACTGACCCCCCACTTGGGAGAGTCCACAGCCCTCCTCTGACGGCCCATGGTGATGAAGAGCAGGGCCCAGGGACTGCAGGAAGAGCAAAGAGGTGCGAGAAGAAATGCACCAAAGTCAGTGGCAGTAACGAGCAGGCCATGCTCTTAACAGCTAACAAATCTCTACACCACATTTCCTTTTTCTTCCTCTGAACCCTTCACTTCTGAGAACAGCTGGGACTCAGAGGACAGCGGGGAACCTCACAGTGGAAAGTTCTGGGCCCAGATAATTCCTTGCACAGAAAGCCCTGGGGGAGGCCCTGGCCCCCTACCACCCAGCCTCCCAGGTTGCCTTTAACTGTACCCAAACCAGAAGTGACAGGACTGGGCCTGAGGCTGCTGAGTTTCTTTTCTGCAAAGGCGGCTTCCCTTTTCTCATGGGAGCAGATGGAGCTTTGTGCAGTCAGTGGGCTGGTGGTGCTCTGGCCAAAGCTTGGGAACCATGTTTCCTGACTTCTCACCCTTCCTCGCTCAAGCAGCTTGGGCCCTGGAACCCATCCAGGATGGACAGTCCATTCCGATACCTTCTGTGGCTGGAGAGCCCTTGGTGAGGAGGCCTGGCATGTCCCTCCTGAGAGAGTCTGGAGAGGGACCCCAGCCTGCGGGATGGGCTTCTGGGGACTGCGAACTTTCTTCCTTTTCCTTCTGATGCAGTTGTAAGACCCTCTTTCAGGACTGCTGTGGGACTTCTCCAGGCTGTGACCAGAGAGGACCATGTCCATGCTGCAAACCAGGCCAGCCACAAGACACAGTGCTCTCTGCCCTGCCAAAGGGGGTCCTGGGGGAAGTGGGGAGGGGGACACCATAGCTTCTGTCCTAGTCCTGTGCTTCAAGCCTTTGCAGCTGAAGGTCCTCCTCAGGAGTCAGAATCTGGTCTCTTTGGGGTCCCAGACGCTGATGAAAACCTTTCAAAACGTGGCAAAACATGGGAGGCCCTCTCGGCAGGGTACAGCCACACTGGCCTCCCGGAGCCAAGTCCCAGCATGAGGGTGAGAGAGATCTAGGACCCTCATGAGCGTGGGTTAGAAACCTCTTTACAAGCATTTCAAGATACATGCGTCCTTTTTTTTTTTTTTTTTGTCTTTTTTTTTTTTTGTCTTTTCACTATCATAGTCACTCTGGTGACTCCAAGCATAAACAGACAAATCCAACTACAATGCAACAGAGTGCAGACGGGGAGGGAAGGGCAACATCTACGTATATGTTCAGCTGCTCCAGCAGAACAGACAGCATTGCTTCCAGCTGGGACTGGGGGGAAGAACCATTTCCGAGGGGGCATGTTCCCCTTTTTGGGGTGTGGAGGGTGATTATATGCACGTGGAGGTGAGCAGTGGCTGGGCTCTGGGAGGCTGGCAGTCTCAAGCTGGGGCACAAGTTGGGGGCGGAGGAAGAGTGGTCCTGCCTGGGGAGCCTGGCGTGCCCATCCTGGTGCTATCATTGGCAACACCCAACTCCTGCCGCCAGCTCAACACGGGAAGGGACCAGGCCTTCTGGGAGAGAAAGGCTCTCTCCACGTCAACAAGGCAAGAACGTCTAGGGTCATTGGTGAGCAGCACCCTGGCTCATATCTGTGATGGGGGCTGGGGGCAGGGAATCGAATAAGGTCATCAAATCCGCTGTGAGAGGCACACCCACAGGATGAGGAACTTGGAGCGAGAGACTTAGGCCCAACCTTTGTGCCTGGACTTTGCCTTCCCTTAGTTTCACCACTTAGAGTAGGTGCCTCCCATATCCAGCCAATGTCCACTGCTGAGAGGTGGGTGGTGAGGCTGGGAACTCGGGACAGTGTGACACGATTATGAGTACAGGCAGTGATTGGCTCTCACAGCAGACACACGCAGGGCAGGGCAGACAGAGGTGGCTGCAGTGGCCGTGGGAGGGACAGGAGGCTTGGAACCCACCTCCCAGACCCCCGAACACTCCAGAGATGCCGGAGGCCAGACGTGGGAACAGGCGGACATCTCCCAAGAGGCACAAGTCCTTACAAAGAGAACTGGTTAGCCCTAAAGTCCCCGGTCTGCGAGGTGGCCAAAATCGTGGCTGCAGTTCCAACCTTCAGAACTCAATACATCAGTTTCCATGGAGCCGAGGGAAGCCTCTTAGCTCAGGACCCCGCTCAGCTCAAGAAGGACCCCCACCCTGCAGGGAGGGAGGAAGAGGCCAGCGCTCTCGGACATCAGACATCGAGGTCAGTCTCCTCCAAGGAAGTAACGCACAGGGTGCCACCCTCCCGCCGACCTTCCCTCTCCTCCTGCCCACTGCCCCTTCTCCCCCAGGCCGCCCTCCAGGGGGTGGCACACCGACGCGCAGGCGACCCGGGCCACCAAGAGCAGGAGGCCGCCAGGTCTGAGCGGCTGCAGGCTGCGGAGGCGGTCGCCCTTCCCGCTGCTCTCCCGGCGGCGCCCGGCAGGGGGCGGCGTCGAGTCTCCCACGCCCGGCGCCGTCCTTCCTCTCCCCTGCCCGCCCCGCCTTCCTCTCCCCTGCCCGCCCCGCCCCCATCACACTCACACAAGGTTGACATCATCTGCCTGTGGCTCCACGAACACACCAAGTTTCGAATCCCTTGTTGCTGCCGCTGCCTCTGTGACACCCCCAGGACGGGGCCAGGGGCGGTGGGCACCCCCGGTCCCCTGAAATTCCCCGGAAACCGCTTTCAGAGCCTCTCCTCCCTCTTCGACTCAGAGGGGGGGAAAAAAAAAGAATCAGAAGGAATTGCCCAAGGAAGTGCTGGGTGTGGCCATGTTGCTGAGTGGCTTCTTTTTTAAATAAATATTTTATTATTAGCCCACCCTTCAATTTGGAAAGATGAAATTTGCTCTTATTCCCATCACTGATTTTGAAGTCCCGAGCCAAAGCCGAGCGACAAAAGCAGGTTAGGTGATTAACCGATTAACCGATCTGCGAGGAGCAGCTGGGGGCAGAGGGCGAGGGGCCAGGTCATTATTCTTTTTTTTTTCCACACTCTCTCACTCTCTCTTCTCTCCACGATTATTGACCGCCCCGGGGCCTGATCACAAACCCTGCTTGGCCAGGGAGGCGGACACCTCGTCGGCGAGCGTGGCGAGCTGCGGCGAGTCCACCATGTTGATGCTGCCCGTGGAGGACACGTTGCTGAGGTGCCGCGGAGACGTGTCCCCCGACACCACCGGCGACTTGTACACGATTTCCGCCCCGTGGTCCGTCTTGGCTTTGGCGTTCTCGCGGAAGGTCAGCTTGTGGGTTTCGATCTGCAAGGAGGAAAGGAGGGGAAGGAGGGTGAGACCAAGGCGGAGAAAGGGGACAGGCCCTGCCACCAGCTGGAGATATATCCCGCAGGTATGCAGACATATACATGTATCTTTAAAAAAAGAAAGGAAAAACAGAGTCTCACTCTGTCGCCCTGGCTAGAGTGCAGAGTGGCGTCAGCCTAGCTCACAGCAACCTCAATCTCCTGGGCGCTCAAGTGATCCTCCTGCCTCAGCCTCCCAGGTAGCTGGGACTACAGGCATTCTCCACCATGCCCGGCTAATTTTTTTTTTCATTTATTTATTTATTTTTTATTTCTTTAACCAATGAAAGTATGTGTTTTGCTGAACTGGCTAGTTATATATATATATTTTTTTTTTGGTTGTCCAGCTAATTTCTTTTTATCTTTTTAGTAGAGATGGGGTCTCACTCTTGCTCAGGCTGCTCTTGAACTCCTGAGCTCAAAAGATCCACCTGCCTCAGCCTCCCAGAATGCTAGGATTACAGGCATGAGCCACCACACGTGGCCTATATATGTACTGTAATACATGTGATAAGGATCTACGCAAGCTTTGCACTCTCGTTTCCAAACTTAATACCTTCTGTGATCAGTAAGTACCTAGAGAGCTTCCTCATGCTTAGAATTTCCTTACAGCAGAGGTGCCAAGATTCATCTGCTCCCCTAGGATGGCCATTTGGGCTGTTCCAGTATCATGCTGGTGCAAACAGTGTTGTTCATGAACAACCTTGAATGACCTTGTGTGCACATCGCTCCACACGCCGCGTGTAAGTGGATGCCAGCTGCAAATGCAGGTGTTGAAGGAGAAGCACATCAAGGGATGGCCCCAGAGCCACTGGAGCCCAGCCAGAGCCACACACGTTCCTCCCCTTTGCCAGTGACTGATGAGGACTTCGGAGATGGCCGCAGCTGTGGTCAGTACTGGCAGGTGTGCTGGATAATATGATTTGCTGAAGCCTGCATTCATTCATTCACTCATTCATTCATTTAGAGATGAGTTCTCGCTAGTTGCCTGGGCCAACCTGAACTCCTGGGCTCAAGAGACCCTCCCATCTCTGCCTCCCTAGTAGCTGGGACTGCAGACCACAGTGTGCCCCACTGCTTGTCAGCAATTTTGCTCCTCACACTCAGAAAACAAGGGACTAAATCTGACGGGATCAGCTAGGACCAGACAGTGTCTTCCGAGTTTTCTGAGCCATCACAGAAGTGAGTTAGAAACAGAAGGAGCCAAGAAGTTTTAGACTTGGACTTGGCTCTAACTCATATTCTTAGATGACTACAGCATTCCAAGCAGTTTCCAGAACATTGTCTCTTTTGGTTCTAACCAGCACTCTGGGGTAGGTACAGTACTTCCATGCCGTTCTGCTGAAGAAGAAACTGAGGCCAAGGCTGGAAGGGCTTACACATCTTGCCCACCTCACACCTCTAAGCAGAGTCAAGCCCAGAGCTTTTCCCAGCACAGAGAAGCTTCCAGAACTGATGGAGGTCTGTCTTCACCCAGGAAATCACCAATGCCCAGGCCTTATCCAGACTCACTCAGACTCTTTAAGGGTGGGGCCGGTCCTTTAGGCTGGGAGGCCCTGCCTTAAACCCTAATCCAGGTGAGAGTAGGTGATGAGAACAGCGGACTCTGGGGCTTTTTTTTTTGAGACAGAGTCTTACTCTGTTGCCCAGGCTAGAGTGCCGTGGTGTCAGCCTAGCTCACAGCAACCTCAAACTTCTGGGCTCAAGCGATCCTTTTGCCTCAGCCTCCCAAGTAGCTGGGACTACAGGTGCGAGCCACCACACCTGGCTAATTTTTTTTTTGTTTCCATTGTTAGTTGCCTGGCTAATTTTTCTATTTTTAGAGAGATGGGGTCTTGCTCTTGCTCAGGCTGTTCTCAAACTCATGACCTCAAGCGATCCTCCAGCCTGGGTCTCCCTGAGTGCTAGGATCACAGGTGTGAGCCACACCTCGCCCAGCCAGAGCCTGGGCTTTTGCGGAGAACCTTCTCTACTTCCCCAGAGAACTGGGCCCTGCCCCCAGTTGTCCTTTGAAGCAGGCAGCCTCCTGGTCCCCCTTTGCTTTCTCACTTCTGATAGTGACCCAGACACTGAGAGGTGTTCTTGCATCTTTTTTTTTTTTTTTTTTTGAGACAGTCTCGCTTTGTTGTCCAGACTAGAATGAGTGCCGTGGTGTCAGCCTAGCTCATAGCAACCTCAAACTCCTGGGCTCAAGCAATCCTGCTGCCTCAGCCTCCTGAGTAGCTGGGACTACAGGCACGCACCACCATGCCCGGCTAATTTTTTCTATATATTAGTTGGCCAATTAATTTCTTTCTTTATAGTAGAGACGGGGTCTTGCTCTTGCTCAGGCTGGTTTTGAACTCCTGACCTCGAGCAATCCGCCCGCCTTGGCCTCCCAGAGTGCTAGGATTACAGGTTCTTGCATCTTGTGTCTGGAGAAGTACGATGAACTTTAGGTCCACCTTGGGGTCAGGAGTCCAGAAGGAGCACTGTGCAGAGCCAGGCAGTGCAAGATCATCATCTCAGGGCCGGTCCCCTCCCTTCCCATCGGCCTTGGGGGGCCCTGTCTGGGTGCAATGTCTGCCCCAAGGTTCAGTTTGCAATGTCTGCTTTAAGACCATACCAGCAGGTGCTTCTCCACAAAACTGTACTATTGTCCAAACATGAGACAGGACATGCCTGTGTGTTCAGAGCCAGAGGCAGTGAGGGGGCTGTTGGAGGAAGACAAGCAGGGAGGTATGGGGACTGGCCAGGGCAGGGGACTCCTGGCTGCCACCCAGCATGGCGTGGTGGAGAGATGGCCCGGCTGCAGCTCCCACCCAGCTGGGCCACCTCGGGCAGCACACTTTCTCACGCTGGGCTGGCTCTCAGATTCCACACCCATTCTGGGACATCCCTTCTCCCTCTGCCACTGCCCAGTCAGCTGCTGCAGGGACTGGAGGCTGGAAAATGAGCCACTCCCCGAACTTCAGGCAGGTGTGGGTGGGAAACCCCAGAGGGTGCTCGGGTTGCATTTATGCAGAAGGGAAAAAGCCAAGCCAGCCACGAGAACGCATCCTGTGCTCGGCCCAGAGGCAGCTTGCTCGGGGCCACCCACACCCTGTGCCCCAAACGCCCACAGCAAGACCTGGAGACTCTAGAATCTGCTGGGGACACTGAGGTCCAGCAGCCTCCGAGTGGGCGGTTTCATGACAGGCAGGCGGAGGCTTTGCTGAAATCTGGATCTCAGCATCATCGTTGTGCTCTGCCCGCTTAGTAACCCATTTAGAAAACTGGGTTATGTCCCCATGACTTGTTCTTGCTGCACCAGAGCTGACTTTGGGGATGCCAGTGTCCTTCTGTGAGTGCTTGCACACCCCAGCGCCTAGGATGGTGGTTCTCACTTGTGACTGCACTGAAGAATCACCTGGGCCGGGCGCAGTGGCTCACAGCTGTAATCCTAGCACTCTGGAGGCCGAGGCAGCAAGTTTGCTTGAGGTCACGAGTTCAAGACCAACCTGAGCAAGAGTGAGACCCTGTCTCTACCAAAAATAGAAAAATTAGCTGGGCGTGGTGGCACACACCTATAGTCCCAGCTACTTGGGAGGCTGAGGCAAGAGGGTCGCATGAGCCCAGGAGTTGGAGGCTGCAGTGAGCTATGATGGCACCACTGCACTCTAGCTGGGGGACAACGTGAGACTCTGTCTCAAAGAAAAAAAAAAAAATCACTGGGAGCTTTAAAGGCCAGATACCCAGCTGCACCTGAGACCAGCGAGTCAGACTGCCCGGGCTGGGCCCAGGCACCAATCCGCACCCAGGTGAGGTCATGGGCAGCTAAGCCAGACCCACAGTCCTGGATGTTGCCGAGAACCAGATCAAAGGCCAGTCAATGAAGGATCCGCCCTTTCCTCCTCTGGACAATTCTGCCAGCCTTTGTCCACCCACCTTGCTCGACACCTGCATCCACATGCAGCCTCTGCCCCGCCCTGCCCCATTCACCTTTTTATTCCCTCCACCAGGGACGTGGGTGATGTTATCCAGGGACCCGATCTTCGACTGGACTCGATCCTTGAAGTCCAGCTTCTCAGATTTGACTTCCACCTGGCCACCTCCTGGAACACAACACACACCAGGGCACCTTGCCATCTTCCTCCGTGGTTTAGTGGACTCAGATGCATTAAATGAGGGCTGCAGAGCAAAGTGCCACGGGCTGCTGGGGCACAGCAAAATTTAGGGCAGGTGCCACTGCTCCGAAGGGAAGAGGACAGTGATACAACCGTCATGATTGCACGAGGACTGTAATTCCAAGTAGGGACCAGCCTTTAGGAGCAAGTAAGACTCTCCCTCATTTAGCATGTGGTTTGGATACAATTAAGTCCTTGCAAAGGGCTTGAGAACAGTTTGCTTCGTCTCCCTCATCAAGGTGTGCATCAAATATCTACTCTGAAAACTCCCCCTCAAGAAACTGCGAAGCAATCATAAATGCCAGCTCAGTCCAGAAAAAATTATTCTACATTCTAAATTGGTTGGTTTCCAACAAGTGAAATCTTTCTATATCAACAACTGGTAGAACACAACCCCATGAGACCTTGGAATTAAACTGAATGTCAAAATGCACGCTAAAAAGGAAAGACCCTGACCCTTTCTCCCTCCTTGGCCCTTAACGCGGTGCCTGAGGGAGGAAGACCAGGCTGGAGGAAGAGACGGCCCACGTCCCTTCTTGGGACGGATGAAGAAAGTGGCTCACCGTTGCTGGGATGGCTGCCAACTGTGGGGTAGTTTTCACTGGGAGACACGGTGTCCGTGTCCGTGACAGCCAGAAAATAATGAGACGTGCTCTAGACTGAGCTCCCAATGGCCTTTTCTTCCCACGGTAACGGTTCAGGTGAAGACCTGGGCCCTGAACAGGATCTAATGCAGAAGTCCCTGCTCTGGACTCGCAGGTGGGAGCCACAATCTACACCTGTGCTGCCCAAGCTGCTAGTCTCAAGCCACATGTGGCTACTTAAATGTTAACTAAATAAAGCTGGTTTGGTTCCTCAACTCCATTGGCCACATTCCCAGTGCTTGATAGCCACGTGTGGCTCGTGGCTGCGTCCTGGACAGCACAGGTATAGTCTCTTTCCGTCACTGTGGGAGATGCAAGGACAGCACTGACTTCTATGCAGCGTGACGCGAGGCTCCGGGAGCATCATTTTCTGTTTAGACACAGTCACAGCAGGGGCATGGCACTGGCCCAGGGGTCCCAGGCTGTAGCTGGCAAAGTGTCCCCTATGGTGGCTGGGGACCAAGCTGGGACACACAGCTGGCCTTCGGGGCCGGGTGAGGTCTGCTGCCAGCCCAGGAGGCCCCATGTACAGCCCACTCGGGGAACCACGGGTTAGGGTTCAGGACCAGCCTGAGGCCTCCCTTGTCCCCTCGTCTTGGCCAACCCAGCCCTGCTCAGGGGCGAGTGGGGGTGGCCACATTTCCCAGGCCCCAGCAAGTTCCACACTCAACCCTCACCTTGATGGTCCACCTGACAGACCCCTGCTGGCCAGAAGGCATCCCTGCACAGTCCTGTCCCTGTCCCCTGGCATCCCCCTTCCCTGCCCCCACCCCCGCCGACCCTAGCACCTTCCTGTCCCAACCCTCGCCTTCCACAAGGGCTACCTGGTTTATGGTGGATGTTGCCTAAAGAGCCACACTTGGAAGTCACCTTGCTCAGGTCAACTGGTTTGTAGACTATTTGCACCTGGAAGTGAGAGAGGATGAGAGAGAGAGAGAGAGAGAGAGAGAAAGAGAGAGAGAGAGACAGGAGGGGGCAGATGGAGAGACAGAGAATAAAATGGGATTATTTTATTGCGGCGTAACACAATGGAAAGCAGCTGTGTATGCCCAGGCCCCGCTTGGACGGCGGTTCCTGTCACCCTGAGGAACACGCCCCAGTCAGGGTGGACAAATGTGGTGAAATTCAGCCAGCCCTGTCCCAAGGGAGCTGGTCTTCACAATATAACTGTGGGGTTGGAGCGTCTTCCGTCCCTGTGGAACCAAAGATCCTCAGGGGAAAACGGGGACACTGTGTAAAAAGCCCCTCCCTTTCCTGCCGTGAACTTGACAGATGCCATCCAGACACGGAGACAGAAGCCACCGGTCTGATTAGCATGGCGGCGCCTGGAAACTCTCTGGGAAGGCGGGAGCTGTCCGCCGGCCTCGTGGAGGAGAGGCTGCTGAGGCCGGACGGGTGGGCGCGTGGGGACCACAGGTGGGCGCGTGGGGACCACAGGTGGGCGCGTGGGGACCACAGGTGGGCGCGTGAGGACCCACAGGTGGGCGCGTGAGGACCCACAGGTGGGCGCGTGAGGACCCACAGGTGGGCGAGTGAGGACCCACAGGTGGGCGAGTGAGGACCCACAGGTGGGCGCGTGGGGCCCGACAGGTGGGCGCGTGGGGACCACAGGTGGGCGCGTGGGGACCACAGGTGGGCGCGTGAGGACCCACAGGTGGGCTCGGGAGCAGAGAAGCGTCGGCAGATCCCGGCTCCGCCGCCAGGGCAGTGTGGGGTCACCGGGCGGGACCCAGAGCAGCGAGGCGACTCGGAGGAGAGAGCCCTGGCACCTGTGCGCGCGACCTCCTGGACGTTTCGGCCTTTACCGAATGGGCACGGGCGGCACAGCGGAGACGCCGACGGGCAGTGTCTCGCCGGCTGGGGCGGACTCGGACACACTGGGAGGCCTGTGGGCTCCAGGGTTCAGCGCCCTTGGGAACGGCGGCCCCTGAGCCTCCTGTTCTCCCGGGGGCGAACCCGTGGGGACCCCACAGAGGCAGATGGGTCTCCTTAGGCAAGTCTCCACCAAGCCTCGGCTCTGGGGGCCTGGGTCACCGACCGACACTCCAGGACCCCTGGCGCCTCTGCTGGGACCTCGTGGGGTGGAGGCCAGCCGGCTCCCTGCCCCAGGTCAGCCAGGGAGAGGCGGCCTCAAGCCTTGCAGGGGTCTATCAAGGCCCAGAAAGAAAGAGGGTCTTCTACCTAGGTCTAAACTGGAAAAGTCCCCAATTATTTTAAAGTCACGTTGGTGTTTGCTTATTGACGGAGGGCTGAGAGACGGCCTGGCCCTTGGCGTCAGTGTGGGAGTGATGTGTTGGGAGGAGGATGACCTGTGTCCCCAGGAGAGTGGGGACAGTGGCATCATTCCCCCCTCCCTGTGGCCTGGGTGAAGCCACTGTCAAGGAGCCGAAGGGTGGGGCTGGGCGGGGGAAGGAGTGGATGAGGGTGGGAGCCCAGTGGGCAGGTGCCTAGAGGCCGGGGAGGGGGCGAGCAGCCCTGCAGAGGCGCCCGGAGCCCAGCCAGGAGGCAGGTCCCAGGGTCCCAGGTAGGGAGCAGGACCTGCCTGCTGGAATGTCACCTCACTGGGGAGGGGAGATCCAGGGCTGCCCAGGAGCCAGAGGCTGACAAGGAGCTGGTGACCCTCACAACCATTCACCAGGAGGAGGGCTTCCCGGGAAGGCTCCCACTGCCAGCTCGCAGTGGCCTCGGGCAGAGGACAGTGCCCCACCTGGGACATCTTGCGGCTCTCTGACATAGGTCATAGGTCATAGGCCCACAGGCCAGCACAGTGCAGGACACAGCGGAGGCCACAAGGAAGTCCCAAGTGTCCTGGGCACTGCAGCTTCTCTGGGCAGCAGCTACCCCTCACCAGAGGGGCAGGGCCACGTGGCTCTCTTGCGCCTGCCATCTCGGCCCCTGGAGCCCCATGGCCTCAGCGCACAACCTCCTGCCAGCCCCAGACAGGACTGAATTAAACCAGAAAGCCTGGGCCTTCCACCTCCCGCCGTGCCATCGCCTTCGAGGAAGCCAGAGAGCCAGGAGTCGAGGCTGAAACGGCTGCAAACGCAACGGGCACACGGAGCCGGGAACGAGGCGGGGCGGTGGGGTGGGGCGGCACACACGCTGCAGGCTTGGGAGACACGGTGGGTGGACAGGGGAGCGGGGCGTGGGGGCAGCGGAGACACGCAGCGCACACTGGCGAGGAAGCGTTAATAAAGCCCCATGCAGCAGCCGCAGGGCGAGCGCTCCTACTCCCCACTACAGCGGCTCAGCGGCAGGCGGACGGTGCTCGGCAGGCGCAGCAGCACATTGCAAGAATAAACCCTCTGCGGGATGCGGGGGTGCCTGCGGCCCAGGCTGCAGCAGTCACAGGGCACTGCCAGCCCGGGCTGGGCGCCTGCTCTCAGAAACCAGGCCCCCTGGGGTGGGCCTCAACGATCTCGACCTCGAAGCTCCAGTTGCCCAGGGTGGTGACAGTTTGCCCACGGCCGGGGCTGACCAAGAGCTGGGAAGCGAAGAGGGCGTCAGGGAGAGAGGAGCCCGGGAACACACACCGGCCGGGAACATCACGTGGGTAGGCGGGGAGTGGCTATCTGAGCCCCAGAGCTCACAGGGACACCCCACTGAGGATGCACAGTGTCCCCAGGGACGTTGGGAGGACACTAAGTATAAAAGGGCCAAAGCAGTATTTCTCTGTAAGGTGGAGTGACCTGCCACACTTTTGCTTGGCTCTTTGCCTTGCAGCCTCTGCCAGAGCGGGGAGCGGGTTTTAAACTGAAGCCGAGTGGCTCCGAGATCGGCTCCTTTCTGGAACGTGGAAGACACACAACTGAGCATAGACGGGACTCTTGGTAGGACAGTGACACCTTCATGTCAACTCATCAGAGCAAACAGGCCACCTGTCCAGAGTGGAGCCACGCAATGGAACCTGCCCAGGTGACAGGGGAGGAGGTGTCCGGTCTCAGGTGCCACCACCTTCAGCCCAACTTCCAGTGGGTGCGTGAGTCCATGGTGGGGATTACGCCCTGGGGCCCCAGCTGCCCAGAGAGGGGCTCGAGGGATGGTCCGTCCCCTTCCACCTACACGGCCTGCGCTGGCCAGGCACAGCCCTCCCGCACGGGACAGGAAGGGCCTCTACGGACAAGGCAGAGTGAGGAGTTGGGAGCCTGGGGACACGGAGAGATCCTGAGCCCGAGAAGGATTTATTCTGTGCAATGTCTCGCGAGTACATGTACTCATGCCACTTCTTAAAAATCAAACCACAGCACAGTGCAGGGAACGTGTGAAGGTACTCACACTGCCGCCTCCTGGGACGTGTTTGATATTATCCTTTGAGCCACACTTGGACTGGACGTTGCTAAGATCCAGCTTCTTATTAATTATCTGCACCTTTGACAGCCAGAAAAAAGGATGAGTGACACAGCACACCCAGACGCACCCGCTTGGCGCGACATCCACTTTCGTGACTTCAGGGCCAGGGCAGTGCAGGCCCGGGGCCTGAGTCACAGCCCAGGGGAGCTGGAAGGACTGATCTTCAGGTTCAGAAGGGAGGGTGGCCTGGAACGCATTCCAGAATCTTCCAGAATTGTCGGTGCTTTGAGGACACTGGTGTCACAGAGCAGAGCCTCCCTTTACGGAAGGACTGTGCTGTGAGGCCTGGGAACCGCCGGTCGGTGTCCCCCAGGCTGGGATGAGTGCCAGCTGTGCTCAGTGACATTAATAATGAGGGAATAAAAAGCCTCCCTGCCTCTCTGCTCACACACCCTGCCCGGCCCATCAGAACACACTGGGAGAACTTCATGTTCTCAGTCTGTTAGGCGTCGGGATCACCTGCAGATTAAAAAAAAAAAAAGGAAGAAACGCAGACCCCACCCACGTCCTAGAATTGGAAACCTGGGGAGTCTGGTTTAGTGTCTACACCTGTGACACGTTCCTTGGTGGTTGTGACGGGCAGCGGGATTTGCGAACCCTGAACCCCAGGAGGATGACAAGCAGAGACTGCCGCCGCCTGAGCGCTCTGCCCTGCGGAAGGGGCGGGCCTGCCCCGTCCTCCCACCGCCGGCCCTGCCACCCACCACCCCACAGCCACGCAAAGGACAAGGGGCAAATGCTCCCCTGCCTGGCTTAGCTTTCCCGTGAGTGCGCGTGGCCAGATGGGTGTCAGATGATGGCATTTCTGGAAGGTTCTTCTTTCTCCAGGCACCAGGGAGAAGGGGTGGGGCTCTCGGTGTTTTGGTGGGGAAGCATTTTACCCAGTGTGCCTAAACACCATGAGGGGGACAGGCAGCCAGGGTTCAGAGGAGCGTCTCCCCGCAGGAGCTGTGTGTGCAAACAGGGCAAGACTTCATGTGTCACCCCAGACGCAAACGGTGGCCGACTGCAGACGTGGCAGGGCCAGTTTGGCTTCTGGCACCAGGACCTCAGTTGCTGCCTTCGAGAATGGGGGTGGGGTGGGGGCGGGGGAGGGGGCGGCTCCGGAGGCCGCAGATCGGGACCCAGGCCCAGCTTCCTGCCCAGCCCGGTTTTCTTCCCCTTAATTTTACTGCTCTGGATCCTAAAACCTGGGACTCACACGTCTAACTCACCTCTCCATTTTTGTTTATGTTCCTTTAAAAAACAACTATGTATTTTTATTAGAAAATACAGCACTATGATTTTGAAAAATAAAGGTTAAAAGGGCAAAAACAAAAATAAAAGTTTTCTTACCACCCTAACACAACCACTATTGTATTTTGTTGTATTTCCCTGAAGCCCCATTTATACCTAACTACCATCATATATATATATATAAATGACAGAATTATTGAGAACATGCAATTTTGTGTCTTGCTTTATCAGGTAATGAATTATGAGCATTCTCCGTGGTTTACAGTCATCAGAGCCTTATTTTTAATAATATGCCCTGTTCCATTTCGTAAATACAATTCCTCTGATATCAAACATTTGTATTGATTCCATTTTATTTTTATTTATTTATTTTGCGATCGAGTCTCACCCTGTTGCCCGGGCTAGAGTGCCGTGGCGTCAGCCTAGCTCACAGCAACCTCAAACTCCTGGGCTCAAGCGATCCTGCTGCCTCAGCCTCCCGAGTAGCTGGGACTACAGGCATGCGCCACCATGCCCGGCTAATTTTTTTCTATATATTTTAGTTGGCCAATTAATTTCTTTTCTATTTTTAGTAGAGACGGGGTCTCGCTCTTGCTCAGGCTGGTTTCGAACTCCTGACCTTGAGCGATCCACCCACCTCAGCCTCCCTGAGAGCTAGGATTACAGGTTTGAGCCACCACGCCCGGCCTGATTCCATTTTAAATAATACAAATGGCCTCCCATGAACATCTTTCTGCAAGGAATTTTTTCCATGTTATGGATTTTTATAGCATAGAGTCCTGGAATAGAATTTCTGGGGCGAAGTTATAAATATTCCAAAAACTCTCAGTGCAGCTCTCCGAATGGCTTTCTAAAAGGGTTAGATTAACGTTCCCTGGGAGCACTTTGGAGAAAGCCAAGTTGCCCATGTTGCTGCCAGCATGCAGTATTTAAATCATGCTTTTGCTTATTTCTTTGACCAAAATAAAGGAACCTGCACGGTTGGCTTATTCTGCATTTCTCTGATTATTACTGAAATTGCTTCTTTACCCTTTTTGCTGGAAGGTGTATTTTTCTCTAACATACAAATGTTGACATTTTTTACATACTCAAATTCTTCCTTTGTAATTTCTACTCTGGTTTTCAAATGTACAAACTGCCCCTCCTTTAGAGTTGGATAAACATCTCATTCCACGTCATCATTCTTGCCCACTATCCCCTCCTTAGGGACAAGGAGGCCACTGGAGGCCCAGAGAGGTTCAGTGACTTTCTTAAGTCAGAAGAAGCCACAGGCCAGACAGGGTGGCTCACGCCTGTAATCCTAGCTCTCTGGGAGGCTGAGGCAGGCGGATTGCTTGAGGTCAGGAGTTCAAAACCAGCCTGAGTAAGAGTGAGACGACGTCCCTACTATAAATAGAAAGATATTAATTGGCCAACTAATATATATAGAAAAAAATTAGCCGGGCATGGTGGCGCGTGCCTGTAGTCCCAGCTACTCGGGAGGCTGAGGCAGCAGGATTGCTTGAGCCCAGGAGTTTGAGGTTCCTGTGAGCTAGGCTGATGCCACGACACTCTAGCCCAGGCAATAGAGTGAGACTCTGTCTCAAAAAAAAAAAAAATAGAAGAAGAAGAAGAATCCAGACCTGGATGTTTCTGTAGCCACGGGCTATCTATGTGACAACAAATTCCTCCTGCTCTGTCCTCAAAGCTATTGCCTCATAAATCAATACAAACAATCCTCCTTGGTGAACATTCAAATTCTCTCCACAGTGCCGCCGCCCAGGCTTGAGCTGGGTGAGAAGGTGGGACAGGCTTTCTCATGCTGCTCCTTGTCACTGTCACCCTCCGTATATGTCTTGGAATCAATTCATGCCACCTTTAAAAATCTGAAGGTGGCGTGAACTGATCTTCTTTGGGGATCATTTTTTATTTATCACTTTTCACTGGATAAGTCCCAGAAGCAGATTTGCCTGCTTTCAAAATGGAAAGGGGAGCGGCTTAGAATGAGAAAACACACACTCACAATGACACAAGAAAATTTAAAGAATCATGTGAGAAGGGGAGGTCATCGGGACTGACAATTACAAGACCGATCATTACAATTAGCTCTGTGCTTCCTGAAAGCCAGGGCAAAAAGGGAAACCTGATGGGTTGCATCACTCTCCTTATCTGACAAAGAAAACTTACCAGTTTTTCAAGGAAGATAATTTGTTTTCTGTACTAAACCATAAAAGAAACTGATCAAAGGAATCAAAGGACATTAAGCAATAACAGTGCCAGCAACACACACAGAAATGGTTTTTCCATGTGGCTTTTTCTTGTTCCAACCCCACAAAAAGGGCCACAAGCTTTTGTGGGATTTGGCAATAGACACAAGGATATTTACAAAGCAGACCTGAATTAACATTAGTTGTCACATTAAAGTTAACACCCTTTATAGAATCTTAGATTTACAGAAGGACGAGAAAGGGTAGTGGTTGGCATTATGAAACTGGAATCCTGAAGTTTAACTTCTCAGCTACAATAACATGTTATCGCCCCTGGGCCCTGGGTAGACATTGAGGATACCCATCAGAAGGAGAGAACAATGATTTGGCAGCTGTGAAGTTTGATCAGGGGAACTCCTAGTTAGGACAGAAATTTCTGTGGTCACGCTTTGACCCTAGAGGAGAGGCTGCTGTGAGGTGGTGCTAGGGGTGGGTCCACTTGGTTTAATCCATTTCCTGGAGGACCCCAAAACAGTCCCAAACCCAATCTGGGCTCAGATCTCTGGATGCTGCTCTGAAGGGCCTCACTCCTCCTCCCTGGCCCCAAGCCTCCAGGCACTCCTGCCCCCACCCCACAGAAGCTTCCAGGCTGGCCCAGGCATGGCCTGGGCCTGGCACTTGCTGGGCTGGGCTTCGCCTAACCAGGCCCAATGCAATGGTCCAGCGGGAATTTACCCTGGGGTGGGCACTGGATGCCCACACAAGCCTTCTCTTAAGTCCAAGGTATTCAGCCTGGGAATGGACACAGGAGAACCTAGTCCTGCCAAGTCAACTGGCCAAAGAAGGGATCAAATAACAAGGGAGAGTCACTTTTAGAATTATTTACACTGTCCTTTAAACAGCGACCGCCTCAAGCTCTTTAAAACGATTTGGTTGACACAAGATTTTTCAGAAGCACAGAGGTAGGGAGAGGTGCCCACAGTATCAGCATTATAGGGCTGTCCCCAAGGAAGGACACTCAGTTCACTGCAAACTATCCCAGGTACAAATTCACTTTATTCCACATAAATGTTGTATGCTTTTTTTTTTTTTAAGAGATGGGGTCTCACTATGTTGCCCAGGCTGGTTTTGAACTCATGGGCTCAAGCAATCTTTCTGCCTTGGCCTTCAGAGTCACTCAGATTACAGTTATATGTATGCTTTTTTTTTTTTTTTACCAACTCAGATTATCCTGCAATATGTATGCTTTTAAAATGACAGCTGGGATTTTGTTGGTAAGTATAATATATTTTTAAAACACTTCAGTTCTCTGTAGTGGTCAGTGGTGAATGAGAAGGAGAGGGAGTGAAGAGGGGTGTAAGGAGAGAGAAATGGGTCAGAGAGATGGGCAGAGATGATTGGGAACAAGAGCAGACTCACACACATTTAATTAAAGAGGAAAAGAAGACTGAACCAAGCACCAGCAACCCAGGCAGAGTCCCGGGATGGAGGCTACGATTGCGGCATTCCACCGCCCTCTGGTGGCCATCTAGAACATTGCAGCCCAAGGCTCTCAAACCCCGCGGCTCTGGTAGGCTCTGGGCCATCCTGGGCCTC